TGAAATTACTAAACGACAAGAGGGGGGGTGAATTTTAAAAGTCTTTTTAATAATAAAATTAACCCTAAACAAGAGTTCTAATTTTTTTGTTGTTTTTGAAACTTTAAAACAAAGATTTATGCAATTTTTCTTACACAAAATTTCACATGCAATAGATATGACAAATTTAAAATGCAAGCAAAAAGTAAACAACGATAAGGAAAGAACACACCAAGAATTTTATAGTGGTTCGGTCAAAATATGACCTACGTCCACTCCCCGGAGTCCTCCACTCTGGGATTTTCACTATCAAAATAGTTCTCCTTTTGTCCCCCTCGGCAAGGCGGAGAAGCCTGTACAAACCTCCCTTTCACCAACCCGGCGTGGCGGAATACCAAACTCTATTTTCGCCCTCTTGGCAACGGCAGAGAACCTTCTCGTTTTTCTCCCTCTTGGAGAAGGCAGAGAAACTCGAGGTAACGGATGTAGACGAGCCTTTCCCTTGGAGATCCTTCCTCAAATCCTTCTCGGGCCATAGGAGGAGCAAGATGCAGCAAGCTTGGAGCAACCGTGTGATCTCCCTCACACCTCTTCTCCCTCACAACGCTCACCTCCTCCTTCCTCTCTCAACCCTCAAGAATTTCTCTAGAGATCTCTCCCTTGGAATCCCTCTCTAACCACGTTCACCCCCTCTGTAAATCTTACTCAAAAAAAACTTGATTGATATCTAAAAAAGGCTCAAAAAACCTCTGAATTCAAAAGTAGCCGTTAATGTTCGTACAGTACGATTCAACATCGTACAGTACGATCTTCATAAACAGCCGTCATCCTGGTACGAAGATGTACGAACAGTACAAAAACAATTCGTACTGAACATATCGTACAGTACGAAAGACTTCGTACAGTACGATCTATTCACAGATTTTGCCCACGTAGCTTGGATCGTACGGTACGAAATAAAACAGTACAGTACGATCTCCAGAGAAGAATTTTAGTTATATTTTGCAGTTAAAAAAGAACTCTCCCCCTGTGTGTGTGCATGGTTGCTCTTACTCTTACGCTTTTTGTGGCCAGACTCAATAAAGTAAAAATACAATAAATGAAAAATACAATGTTTGACTCATACTCCTAATCTACCCGGTCTTGAGTCTTCCTTTCTTCCTGAGTCACTTGTGATCTTCCTGAAATGTTAGTGCTCAAGGAAAATAACAAATAAAATAATAATCAATGAAAAGCGGTTCCAAAACACTCATTATTTGGCATCATCAAAATCTCAAACTCGGAGTCATGGGTTGCAACAGATGCATGTCTCCTTAGTTTTCTACCACAATTGCTTTCTCAAATTCATCTCAATCAAAATGACCTCAATCACTCAAACTTCCTCCAGAAAACACTTTAACACAATAAAGGTCTCTTTGAGGCATTTCATCAAATGGTTAACATACGCTACTCAAGTAAGAAAGAGATAAATGCTTTATGTTAAAGAAACTAATGATACCATTCACGAGCAAGTAAGGAAGGAGAAGATCACAAGCCACCATTTGGTCACAAGTGAATAAGATTTGTCATGATGTCTCATGGCTTCCATAATTTTTAAATAAAACTAGGTATATGAAAAAGTTCTCAGATTTTTTCTTGAAGTTTTATCATGAGTAGTGGGAGTAGGAGAAGAAGAGAAGTGAAGGGGGATGAGATGTAGAAGAAAGGATATATAGAGGAATAGGGAGAATAAATAATAAGAAGAAGAAGAAAAAGAAGAAAAAGAAGAAGAAGAAGAAAGAGGGGAAGACGAAGAATAAGAAGAAGAAAGGAATAAGTATACCTGTCTCTGAGAATAGTTCAGCTAGGGCTAGGGTGGTCGGCTCGGGTTTGGACCGAGAGATGGAGGTCGGTCCAGACGTCGGGTTCGACTTTGTCCGAACAGAGGACAGGCGACTTCGACTTTATTGGAGGTCGCCAAGCCTTGCGTGCAGGGCATCGGCATCGGCTAGGCTTTCAGCCTCCTTGTGTCTGGCGCGAACAAGCAGGGAGACGGAGTGGGAGAAGGAGGCAAGAGGGGCTTGCTTTGGTTGTTCCTATGACCAGCGACCAGCGAGGAGCAAGTCCCGTTCAGCTCCTTTCGTGAACAGAGAAAGAGGGGGATATCTTAAGAGTGTCCGGGGTTTTGGTCGGCTGAGGCTTAAGCCAGAGAGAGTATCGGGAGTAAGAGGGAGCGAGTGCCTTGGCTTCTCTGGGCTCTGGCCTTTTGCGAACCAGAGGGAGAGGAGAGAGGGGGAGCGGAAGTCCCCTCGCTTGTGCGAATTTAGTCCGTCAGGGAGAGAGAGTCGGGGCGTGAGATGGAGGCTTCGTCCTTAGTTAGGGCACGAGAGGGAGAGCGGGGAGACTGGAGCCGTCTGATCAAATTCCTTGATCTAGTACGGGATTCAAATTGTTTTGGAAAATCAATCAAATTTTTATTAGGACCTAGCTAGACCCAAGGGACTGAAATCAGGTTCAAAATTGAGTTAGGTCTGGTTCGATCCGGATCAACTCAAGCTCACCTCGACTATACCAAAATTAATTCAATAAAATAAGATAAAATAAATCAAGCTCAAATTAATGTCAATTCGAATCGAATCGGGCTCGATGAGGCTCGATCAACACGATCAAACACGGTCGAGGGCAAATCAGGACAAAAACGAGGTCAACAATCTCCTTCCATTTGGAAGACATTTTACCTGAAGTAAAGCATAGTTGAATATCTTTCCACACATCCATCCCAATGATCTTCCAATATGCTTTGAAAAAGGAATAGGTTATTCCATCCATTCTAGGAGAAATGTTGTTTCCAAGTCTCTAATCACCTTTTCAACTTCTTCCACAGAAAAACCAGCCTCCAAGATATCATAGTCTTCTTGCTTCAGGATGTTCCCATTTGAAGGCCAATTGTCCATTTGGCAGTCTCTGTCTTTCCATTTGCTGCAGAAAAACTGATAAAAGCTGCTCCTTATAATTACAGGATCTTAAATTAATTCTCCATCATCATTCTTCAATTGCTTGATCGAATTGCCATTCCTTCTACCATTAGCAAAGGCATGAAAGAAATTAGAATTCAAATCCTCTTCTTTCATCCACTTGGCTTTAGCCCTTTGTCACCACCATGTGTTCAACCGTGCAAGTGTGCAGTTGAATTCCTTGACTCTGGTTCTAAGAAGCAGAGCTTTGTGTCCGAAAATGGCTTTTTCGATGCTTCTTCCAGCTGCAATTCTTCGATCTCCATCTTCAGACTTTCTTTCAATTTTTCTAATTTTTGATGTTTAGCCTTGCTCCAAAAAAACAAGGCTTTAAGGACCCTTGACAGTTTCATATTAAGAGCTTCCATATCATCTCCTCTCATTGGTTTGGCCCAAGAATTTCTGACCACCGAGGCTACAGCTGAATAAGATAACCATACATCTTTGAATTTGCAAAATCTAGTTCTATGAAATTGTTGATAAAACAACTTCAATACAATGGGACAATGGTCAGATGCAATTCTATTCAAATGCCTCACGGCTGCTTGATTGATTAGTTCCAAAGCTTTCAAATTCAGCATGCACATATCCAGCCTTTCCAAAATTTGGGCACTTCCACTTTTATTGTTGCACAATGTAAACTTAGAACAAAGAATACCCAAATCATGTAGGTCATTTCTATTCATAAAAGCCTTCATTTCAGGTGGTCCATGTGAGAAGGAAAATTTCTTCCCACCTTTCTTCTCATCTTGAGAAAGAATGCAGTTGAAGTCACCTCCTACCACAGATGGAGCCTCCGGCTTAAAATTTCCATCCAGAAAATTCCATAGTTCTCTTCTACCTTGAATCTCCCTGCTACCATAAATAGTAGCTACCATCCAAATTCCCTTGTTGAATACCTTCATCTCACCTAGTACATAGTGGTTCGAGGTCTTTATCGAGGAGAATGAAGCCACATCAATTTTTCTGATCACCAAAATTCCTTCGGATTTACCTCTAGAAGGTAGCAAAAAATATTCCCAGTTCTCACCCATCAACTTGCCAAATTCTTCTTTAGAAAGAGAAGCAATCTTGGTTTCAAAATACCCTCAAAAAAAAAAATCCCATTCTTTAATATACTCCTTCAAATACAACGAGGCCTGTTTCTTGTTAGCCCCCCTATAATTCCAAAAGCTAATAGAACTCATTTGGATAAGAATGGGGATATACCCCCACCCCTTCTCTTGTTCATACTATTTTTATCTTTCCTAGAACCCATATTCAACGGGCCCAAGTACCTTAGTTCCTTAGCTAGTTTTATTTTTTTAGAAGAAGCCTTTTTGTTACTCAGAGCAATTTTCTCCTCATCTTGACTATCACTATTCTTCTCAATGCTACCCATAGCTGCTACAGCTTTGTTATTGGTTTGACAATCTTCCAGAATTTCCACTAATTCACCTTCTTCTACCTCCTCTTCTTTGGAAACATCCTGAGTTTCTACACCATTTCCTCCCTTACATAAAGACTTAAGCAATTCAAATTTATTACCTGACATAAATAAGGCCTCCTGGGTTGAATCAACCTCTAAATTCCCCTCAGGATCTTTGGGTTTCGTCAAATTTATGGCTTGGAAACTAACATCCACCTCAGCTTCAATAGAATTCACCGCACCTTAAACTGTACTTCAAACTACAACAGGCTTGCTAGCAACTTCCAACAAATTTGTCTTATCTTTTGCCAATTTACCATCTCCTAGATTGCACAGGTTATTGTCTTTGTCTTCTAGATTTATTAATACACTTCCTTTTTTCATCAAATTATTAGTAAGTTACCCATTAGCAGATTTCAGGGATCCACCTTTCTTTGGAATGTATTTCATATTATGCATTCCCAAGGTCTTCTTTTTATTTCTTCTATTATTGGCTAACGACCAAGAGTTTATATCTGGACTAGCCTTGGTACTAATGCCTTGTTCTTTAATACTTTCTCCACACTGTCTAGTAATCTCCACTAATCCTATAATCTTCTCAACAGCATTGCATGCTTCCTTCAAATGGCCAACACGTCCACATTCATAAAAAAGTTGGAAATTTTCTCATATTCCACTTTTTGAAAAAATTTGCCATTAACGCCTTCCACCCGAACACTAGTAGGCAATTGTCGATCAAGCTGAATGCGGACGCAAATCCTAGCAAATTTTCTCCTCCCCCATTGGAACATATCCCCATCTATCAAAATTGGTTCTTCAATAGAAGACGCTATCCTTGAGACATTGATTTCATCCCAGCAGTATAGCAGCAAACTCGACATCGTAATCCATATTGGAGAAGACAACACTTTGAGTGAGTTGGGATTGAATTCTGAACTCCACTTATCTAGCCCAACTATATACCCATTGACGAACCATGGCCCTCCCAATAGAACATTCTCCATGGCCTCCTTAGAGAAGAATGAACATAAAACCCAGTCAGAACCAAGGCTCGTTAGATGAAATTTACTAAACTTCATCCACTGACGTCTCAGCTCAGTTGCTACTAGATGCAAAGGAATACACCTCCTAAATACCTTCACAACAATGGAGAATTGTAACTTTACTGAATTAGCTTTAACATTGGGCTTAAATAGTTTGACAGGAGATCCATCTTCCGTCAGAAAAGAACCACAGGGCAGATGATTAACTTTAATATATGGATATTTAATCCATGGATTTACTTGTTCTTGTCCAGATGATAATACACTTGCAGTGCCTTCCAATACAAGAATTGATTGATTGCCTCTTACAACTTTTTCACAAACAATTGGTTTTCAAACTTGAACCTTCTCAGACAATTGATCGTCTCCCATAACAGGTATGTGTTTCAAATTGGCAAACCTATTAAAAATTAACTTTCTCCATGACAAAGATGAACCATCATTATAATGAGGAGATTTCCTTTCATCTTTAATCATAACTTGGTTCCTTTTTCCCAACATAGGTGATACCACCGCTCAAAGTTCGTTAGGAATGTTAGGCCCTATGAACTAGTCCCGAGGCTAACCAAGAGGGGGGGTGAATTGGTAATTTTAAAAATTCTTTAAAACCGATAACAAAATATCACAAACCAAAATGACCACTGAAAAACAAGTACGGAAAATTAAAGTGCGGAAGCAGTAAAAAGAACACAAGGCTTTATAGTGGTTCGGTCAACTTGACATACATCCACCCCCCGGAGGTGCCCTCCGAGTATTGCATTACCAATGTGACTCTCCTTTATCTCCCACAGCTAGGCGGAGAAGCCCTTACAAAACTCCTCCTTTTTGCCACACTCGGTAAGGCAGAGAACCTAACTCCTTTTGCTTCCTCTTGAAGCAGGAAAAGAACCTCGATCTATCGCTGAAGCTTACCTCTCCCAACCCTTCCAAGGATAAGAGACTCTAGGGAAAAAGAAGTGGAACAATGCTTGGAGCAACCCTTGTGAAATCCCTCACAAGCTCCCCCTCACATGATCCTCTCTCTCTCTCTCTCCCACTCTCTTTCTCTCTCTCTCCTTTAGGTTTTCTCAGGTCAAGACAGTAGCCAAAGATCTCTTAAAAAATGTTGAACAAGAGCTCTTAAATAGAAGAGCTTTGAAGGAGCTCAATAATTGCAAGTTGCCCACTTTATCATCCAGGAGTAACTAAGGGTTTTTGAATATATCGTCCTAGCCGATCCTGCGATCGTCCAGGATGATGTGATCGTATCAATGATCCTTAATTGCTGGATCAATCTAGGCATAATTATTCCATATCATCCAGGCCGATCTCACGATCGTCCTAGCCGATTTCCAAAAATACAGAATACCTAAATTAATTATGGCGGCTATTTCTTTCTACTTTGAGCATATCGTCCTGGCCGATAAAAGTATCGTCTAGGTCGATAAGTTAAATACGGTTGCCTTAACTAAGAAATCCTGATTAGAACTTCTGTTTTGAACTCGATTGTCCAGGACGATATAAATATCATCCGGGATGATGTGAGTAAAAACATAAATTCAAAATCTCTCAAGTGTGTGTGTATAGGGTTACTTAATATTAGTCACTTCAAATATTTACAATTGACTCAAGAAAGGGAAAAAGAAAATTACAGACTGACTCAACCCTAATTTAACCAGTCTTGAGCTGATTCCGATTTCCGTCCGATCTTTGAGTCCTGAAAAGTCAGTAGAGAAAAGGTAGTCGTATTGTTTGCTATCATCAAAACAAAAATTCATGAAACCAAATCTGCAACAACCGCAACTTTCTCCAAATTTGGTTCTCGGATAACCAAGGCCGAATTGTAATTTCTCGGTGCCTTCTCCAAATATGCTTTACCAGAAGTCGTTGATGCTATTCCCTTCCACGGTGGAACATTCCAGTCATCAGAGGTCACCAGAAGGCAATCCTCCATCACCCGCGTGAATCCCGCTAACAGGACGATTCAAACAAAATTTGAAAAATCTTTATTGAAAATATGGAGTTTCTCTCACTAAATTGCCTCTTTGAAATGAACTTATATTATGGTGGCAGCATCCAATAGTGATTGAAGGTATTTATTATGGTATTCGTGGCTTGCTACTACTCTACTCATAAGAACCTATTTGCCATGTTCCTTCTACACTTGTCTATTTTTATTGGTTGTCTTATTTAAGTAAAGTCATCATGATACACTTTCACTAGTTTAAGGACTTCTATGGTAGTCCACCTCATCTTTTATAATCGGTAGAATGCCAATAACTATTTTGACATAGCATTATTAACATTTTTTCTCAAAGTTGACTCTTGACAGGGCATAATGAAGAAAAATTATTCATATAGCCAATCCCACAATGGGATAAAGGCTTGAAGCTATTTTTTATTGTATTGCTAAAGTGAAACAAATGAAAAATGCATAATAAGAGGCATCAATCTCTACCTCATGTGAGATAATAAAAAATTCTATAAATTCATGACAGCATAACTTGGACTAAATAGATAATTTTGCAAATTAGTTTAATAACTAAATGTACTATAAATTTTTAAAATATTTCAAATTTGTTATCGTTCACTATAGCAGTCCATGACCCCTAGCATGAGATTTTGGTAATGACAAATAATGTCGATTGAATTATCTAATTATTTATTGATTATTTTGAATGTTGTTCTTCTCTGTGAGTATTAATATTTCAAGGAGATCACAGATTTCTCAAGATAACAAAAGACTCGAGACTAGGTACAATGGGATGTAAAGTCTGTAACTTTGTATTTTTTTTCTTTTCCTTTTCTTGAGTCTGGCCACAAAATGTGCAAGCAAACTGAGTAACCCCGCACACACACAAGGGTAGAAAATTTTTTTTTAAGGGAAAAAGTATTTTTCTGTAGATCGTACCATATGATTTTAAATTATACTATATGATATACTGTAAAAGAAACTACTATATTCTGTGAACTAATCGACCTATACAATCTGCTTCGTACTGTACGATTTTCTTTCAATCTGAAACCCTAGCTACCAGATTAATTTAAGAAAGTTTTTAAATCATTAAATTTTAAACTAATCATACTATATAATTATTTAAATACTTGCTCAAATTAACCCCTGTGATTAGTCAATTATAATCAAATCTTATTGGCCTAGTTCATACCGTACGATGAAGCGATACCATTTTTGGTTATCAGTAGATCGTACCAGATGATACCTTGATTTTTGAACTAATCATACTGGACGATGTATATATCGTACTAGAAGATCTGAAGATTTTAGCAGATCATACTGTATGATTTGAATCAAACCAGATGATGAAAAGAGATGAATTTCTCTTGTCGAACATTTGTTCTATACGAATAGATGAAATTTGCCACATCGTATTGGATGATATTTGTATCATACTATACGAAGTAATTCAAAATTATTGCCTCTTCATACTTCTTCATACCAGGATGAAAGATATTTTGAACTGATCATACTGTACGATCTTGGATCATACTACATGAACAAAAAAGGCTAAATTGAATATTTAGGGTTTCTTAAAGCCTGATATTTAATTATTTCTTGTGTCTTTTTAAAAGAAGAGAGAGGAACATGATAAGGAAGGGAAAACTCTTGAGAGGGAGCCACTTGAAGGGATTTAGGGCTTGTGAGAGGAAGGAGAAGGTGAGTTTGTGAGGGAGAAGGAGTGTGAGGGGATCACTTGGTTTCTCCTAACCTTCTACATGCTTGTTCCTCCCTTAGGCCAGGGAAATCTTATGGGAGCTCTCTAGGATGTCAGCCTTTAAGGTCGACATCCTCAAGAGGGAGAAAAATGAGAAGGTCCTCTTCCATCACTGGGAGGGTGACATAGCATTTGGTACTATGCCTCACCAAGGAAGGTGAAAGTGATCTTGTGTAAGGGCTTCTCCACCTTATTGTGGGGGAAAAAGTAGAATTACTTTTGAGTAGTTAAATTCCCGAAGTGGAGGACTCCAGGTAGTAGACGTAGGCCAAGTGACTAAACCATTATAAATCTTTTGGTGTGCTTTTTCCATTTACTACTTTTATTTCCTTTTTTATCCTATAATTGCTATAACTACTTGGTGAGAATATTATTGTAGAACCTTGTTGTGTTATTTAAAATTTTATCAATGCTATTCTGATCTTATTTAATCAATTTCCTTTTGTTCCCACATAAAGGACGAGAAGCCTTTACAAACCACCTTCCACCGACACTGGTGGTGCATAGAGCCTGACTCCTTCTACTTCCTCCTAAAGCAGGTAGAGAACCTAACTCATTTTACTTCCTCTTGAAGCATGCATAGAACCTCAATCAATTGCTGAAGTAGACCTTTCTCGAACCGCCAAGGAACAAGGTATGACGACTAGAGAAGATGACTCAGATCCTTACTTGGAGCAACTTTTGTGAAATCCCTCACAAACTCCCCTTCACAAGATCCTCTCTCTCTCCCTTTCTCTCCCTCTCCTCTAGGCTCTCTCAGGCCATGATAGCAACAAAATATGTACTCTTGGGTAAAATAAGATGTCTTATATAGAAAAACTTTTGAATAGCTCTTAATTGCAACAAACAGATATTATCATCCGGGATGATCTTAAAATCATCCTGATCATCCTGTATGATCAGTAAAAATTTAGCTTAATCAGCCAGGATGATTTGGGATGATTAGAAGAAAATTTATTCATATCATCCAGGATGACAGTATATTGTCCTGTATAATTAGTACCATTTATTGAATATCATTCAGAACATCGCCTTGGATGGGAGTATGGACAATGAAAAAGTAACTTGATCGTCTAGGATGATCTCACAAATGTCTGGGATGATTAGTTCAAAACATCATAGGTCATCTAGAGACATCGCCCTGAATGGATGTCTGGACGATGAAATATTGACATGATCATTCAGGCCGATCTCATGATCGTACAGGAAGATTAGTTCAAAATAATGCATATCATCTAGAACCTCGCCCTAAATAAAACCAACTGATGTTCGATCGTCTAGGAAGAATTAAGATTTTATTAATTGATCATTTTGGATGATCCAATGATCGTCTAGGATGATATGATCTAGCAATCAAACCTTAATTGCTTTCCTTAATTACCAGATTAATTTAGGCATAATTGTACTGCATTATCTAGGATGATGTCCAAAAATAAACATACCAAAATAGATCTGGCGACTAATTCTTTTTTTATTTGAGTCTATCATCCAGAATGATCATAATATCATCGAGGACGATGTGCTTAATAATGGCTACCTTAACCAAGATGCCCTAATTAGAGTTTTTGTTTTTAACAGATCGTCCAGGATGATGTTTGGATCATCCAAGATGATGTGATAAAAAATAGAGAACTCTAAAACAATTAGAATTTTTCCCTCAAGTGTGTGTGTGCAAGGTTACTTTGCAACATGACACATATTGATACAGTTTACTCAAGAAAAGGAAAAAAGATTACAAAGAGACTCAGTCCTAGTCTACCCAATCTTGAGCTGACTTGAGCTGCATTCGATCTTATGGACCTGAAATGTTAGTAGGAAAGGAAGTCATAAAAAAATAGGAATATTTTTTATCATCAAAATTTTATTCCCTGAAAATAGATTTGTAATAATCTCCTCCTTTTTTATGATGGCAAACACACAATCAAATTTTAGTTGAAGCATCACAACAAAAAATAGTGAATCATAAAGTAGTACAAGTACTCCCCCTTTTGACATCACAAAAAGTAGGAGGAAAAGAAAAAAGAAAAACTCAACAGAAGAAAAACTACACAAAGGAAAAAATAACATAACAAAAAATAAACTAAAAAAAAGATAGCCATGAACATCCGAAGGTGGAGGAGTTGGTGGTGGCAAACTGCTCTAGGAATCAAAGTAACTAGAAAGAGTGGCAAACTGCTCTACAAACTAGGCCATAGCCTGGTCGTGCTGGCGCTGCTGGTGATCCACGTAGGAATAAACGCAAGAAACATCCTCAGCATCTTGTTGCTCCTAGGAAACAACATATGAATCGAAGCGATTCTCCTACTAGTTGAATTATTCTATCAACTGTTCCAATCGTGAGTGCTGATAGAGTAGAGAACGTGCCGGAATAGGTATAGGAGTTACCTTCTCCTCAGCTCCCCTAGCTTCCTCATGCCTCGGGTGGAGACGAGTACTGTGAAGAATGTGAACGAGTTTTTTTGGTAGAAGGTAGGTTGATAGTTTGGTGGGGCAGGATATTGGAGGTTGTATTTGGATTCTAGGACATAGGTAATGATGTGTCCTAGGGTAAGATTGGGCTTCCTCCTATGTCTTGGATCACGAATGCTAGTTAGATGCTCAATATATCAAAAAATTAGATCAGAGGCATTAAAATCATGATGGGCCATAATATAGAAAGTGGTGATCGAAAGAAGTGGAGTGATATGAATATGGTCACCAGCTTTTGAAAGAAATGAGGTATAAAGGACATGTTGGATTTTCCTAGCATCTTTGAGTAAGCTGCTAGACTCTCTAACATAATAAGAAACATTGATATTCCTTAAAAAGTGATTGGTTGGGGCACAGTCATAGTCGGGATCTTGACACGAGATGGAGAGTTTGTCTCCTATGGTGGACAGTTGCAAAAGCTCTTGATAGTCCTAATATGTGATTTTGATAGGATGTCTATTCACATAGGACTAGAGAGCAGTGAAAGAGGAATTGATGCAAAGACTAGTGAATAACTTAAATAGTATCTCAGAATTAAATGGGATGGTAAGAGCAAGCAGGAAAATGAGAATAGTGTGAGTGAATAAATTAAGAACAGGATATGAAAGGATGTGGGGGTTGACAGTTTCGGATATAGTGATTCTGACCATCTTGTACCTCTGATAGGCGGCTTGATCGACTGCCTCAATGAATCGAGGGTCCATATTTGCCCTCGAGGAGCTTTCAGAAGGCATATAAGACCTTTTACCACCAGCCATGATCAAGAAA